TTTATTACTTCAAACATTTTTTAGCAGGTACTTGTATTTGAGTAGCCACTTTTTTAAACTGTGTTTATTTTGTTTACTGGCCTATGCACTCAAGAAAACTTAGAGAAAATATATCCTCTGATATGATTGAAACCTGCATCCCCTTTGCAAGAGAAACCACTGTCTGATTCAGTCTTCTTTGACAACTTGGCTACAGAGAGCTTCACAATCAAGCAAGTTTCTATTTGCCTTAAAGCATATTCACTTGTTGAGATTTTCTTGAAAGCCATATCTGTTCAGTTTCTAATTGAAAATGCAAACAAAGCAATTTCTAAAAAATAGATTTTATTTTTTTAATCAAACATCTGAGCAGTTAAAGCATACTGAAAAAAGATGGTAGTTTCTCCTGCAAATGGATATGCAGATTTGAATCCTGCCAGAATGCACATTTTAAGTTTTCTCAAATGTGCAAGCTAGTAGACAAAATAAAAAATGAAATGTCTACTCAAATATGAGCATCCACTAAAAATAATGTTTGAAGTAATAAAAATATCAGATTAAAAAAATAAAATCCATTAATTCTTTAGAAATCGCTATGTTTATATTTCAGAAATGAAATTGATTAGATATAACTTTTAAGAAAATTATACTATTCATGTATGTGGGTTTAAGAACATATATCTATGAGAAAAAAAAATACAAAAATATCATCAGTCACTAATATTTAAAATTATCTAAGTAACAGAATAGCCTCAGTATAGCAGTTAGTAAGGAGTTGAGGTTTAAATAAAATAATTGGTGAGACAGTAGTGCAATTCATTATTTAATGAGTATGAGTCAGTAAAATTCAATACAATGTACAGGCTATGAGATTGTTTTCAAAATGTCCTGTTAAATTTATTTACAAAACATCTTTACAATTTAATTTTAAGAAATGTAATGAGAGAGCAGGACAGATTAAATAAGCATTTTACAGTTCAAGTTTCTGATGAATTGTTCAAATATGGTTGATGGTTCAAACATTTTCCAGATGTAATTATGTAAGAACAATATATGAATGAATCAGACTTAAATGTTATTTATTCCTGCAGTAATATCAAGAGTCAGTTAAAGACATCTGCATGATTTTCTGAAAAAGGAGAATTTCTAATTTGATGCTAGGTTTCCTGGACTGAAGAACATTCCAGATACCCTAAAACCTGATCAAATGATTAGTTATCCCAATTTTCAATACATTAAGACTGGTTCATTTAGATCTTACATGCAGTCAGAATTATTGCCCATGGTCTTGAAATAAGAGACATTTTGTTTGCAGCATATCACCCAAGTGCTCTCTCTCTCTCTCCATCAATGTGTTTCTCAGTATAAAAAGTACATCCCCAGAATCTTTCTCTCACACACATACATCTAACTTGTATGAAGCTAAAAAATTTTTTGTAGAATATTATTTCATAATCTTCCTTAAATGTTCAGCCAAATATCCAGCTTCTTCTATGTGCCATGTCCTTCAGGTTGTGGGAAATCATGGCTCTCCATAAATTCCTGCTCGTTGTAGCTCTTAATAAATTGTCTTTTTGTTATCTCTCCTAAAACTTGCTCCATCATCCATTTACTCAAGCTCACTGGCTAAGTTATGCATAGTTTTACTCTCTCTTGCCTTCAATTTGTCCTGTGAGTATCAAAATTTCCAAGCCTTCTTTCCTCATTATGTCCCACAGAAATTTCATCTATCTCTTCCTGATGTTAAATAGAAGCATCTTTTTGTTTCCATTTTCTCTAAAACTTTGTCCTTATTCACATGGTATTCTCCACATCCTTTTGTAGAACCACATTTCTGTTATTTCAAGTCTCCTCTTCATTTGCGATGAGATTGTCCAGCATTCACTGCCATATAGAACTGATATTATATAAGAGTTCAGTACTCTTCTTTTTTTCTAATGAAGTTTACTTTTGTTTCTTTGTGACACTGAGATGTCGGCCCGTGGTCAACTCCAAGTTGCGGCATGAAGCTGTAATGTCTCTTCCACCAGCGTTTTGGGATTGACTCCTAGTTGCTGCCACCAGCCTGTGTCCTGGTCGATCGGTGGTCATCGCTACCTGGCGGAATCCCTTGGTTAGGGTACCAATATGTGACACTGGCCCATCCAGGGTCAAATTCTGGTCGTCGATGCTAACGGCTTCACACCAGCTGCAATTGGTTCAATACCAGCTCTGTCATTCCCAGCTCATTTCCAATGTCTGGTTACCGAAGTAACTGCTTCGATCTCAAGTCTAACCTACCCATATTGTGATTTTGATCTTAGGTAGACGAAATCAATCAGGTGTTGGGCCAGACTGTAAGATGAGTCCAGACTGGAAGTGATATCGCACAAGCATAAAGAAAAAAAAAATGCAAATAAAAACCCCAAGAGGATCAAGCATGTTAAGAATTAACAAATTAACTTTATCTGTCTGTTATATACAAGAGTGTGTTTTTTTTCCCCAGCCAGTTTTTCTACAGAATGACACTTCTACGTTTCAAGCAAGTTTTGGTATCTTAAGTCAACTGATTTAGTTCTTAGGTGCTGGCTTGGCTTTGTTCATCAGTATAACTTGCCATTGGTAGGAGAGGCGAAGTCGGACGTCATGGAATCTCTCGGTCAGCTTCTGCAATGCAAAACTCTGGTTCCTGCTACTCGAACTGAACTGTCAACTAACTCCAACTGTCAAACGGCCCGAGGACATTCGTTTATATGGGTACCGACCAAAAACCAGTGCGGGGTTAGATGCGATCTGGGGTTCTCAGTAAACCTTGACTTCCAACAAGAAATCTTTTTTGTCAGGCCAGGAAAATTAATCACTTTCCATATGGCGGGGGATCTCCTCATCCAAGAGAAGAGGTTGGAGGAGAGCCATCCTCGTAGTCTCCTACATTGATACCTTGTACCAATCCCTTCAGTGGGTGTTAATAACTTCACCAGTCCTTTTCATCCATTTACCTCCACCTATCACCATTGCTACCACTCGATGAATGGCATACCAGCCGTGCAGGTGTGGCTAAGCTGGCCTTCTTAAAATTATAACCCAGGATTTTTGTTTACAAAATTCTCCCCTCCACCCACAGCCAAAATTTTTACTAATCCCACTTAAAATCTATCAGATCTTTTGGTCGCTCAGAATCCACTTTGACAGTGATTGATGGAATTTGTAAAGAGTGCCATCTGGTCCCTTCATGAAGTTAGCTTTTACTGGAACCTTTGTCTTCTTGAGAAATTAAATTCATTATCTCCCAAATCGTGATTCTTCCATGCTATCTTTTCTCATGCCCAAAATTTTATAATCACCATATTGCTACTCAATGCATTGGCACCTGAAGGCGACACTTTGATAAAGTAAATAATAACAATCCTCTTCACCCTATATTGGGATAAATTTTTTCTCATGCCAAAATTTCCACAAATACAAATCTTGGGAAGATAATTAACATTGATTCTCTTTACCCCATATTGGCAATCATCTCAGGCTGAAATTTTTATCACTGTCATGTGGTCTGCCCGATATCTTAATGCTTTGCTTTTTCTGAATTATCACATTTCCCTTAGCAAGGCATTTCTTTACAACAATATTAATCAATTTGACAAAATCTCACATATGGCTTTTCTATGAGTCTACTGACTCTTGTGAAAAGTAATTTTTTTTTTTGAAATAAAATCAAATCTTTAATATCGAACAGTATATCTTTCGGGCTATCCTCTCTCCATTTCCAGCATTTCCTTGTTTAATTTTTATGGTTAATTAGTTAGCCAATTACCATAGCTAAATAGTGTCACATCTTAATACTTTGCTTTTGCTTCCTTTCGGAAGGCATCTTTCACTATATAGATGTGTCTTTGGATTTTAGTGTTACACTTTCTTAAAACACTTCCCAGATAATTAAATTGTATTTGGTTGATTTTGGTATCTCCAATTTGAAATTTGCATATTGGGCTGTTCCTTTTGCTAACAACCATGCATTTCATCTTGCAATTGATCATTAGTTCTTTCTTTTTGCTTTTCTTCACTCTCTGTAACAGCAGAATAAAAACATTTGATTATTCAAAACAGACATCCAGCCTTTTTCACTGTCTATTTTTTGTGCTAAGAACAGATAAGCTGAAGACAATTACAGTAACATTTTTGAATCAATAACTGAAACCCTTGACACATCTTCAGAGTAAGATCCATGAACCAATAGGAGTAGCCAACAAATACATATCTATGTATATGCAGATATCACATTTTGTCCCATGATAGTAAAAGATCATAAAAAATAGCAATCATCAGCTAACCAACAAGGAGTCAGGTGTCAACAGCAGAAAGAACAGAAAAAGAAAATAAGAATGTCATAAGAGTTTACAGAATTTCAATTCAAATTTTAAGTGAAACTGCTGACATTTTCTATAAAATTGAAACAATCATTTACTATTAACTTTCACTGCTGCATTGTTGTCTGGATGAACTGGCCCGTTTTGGCAAAAATAGGAAATTGACATTTATTAGAAATAAATGACTGTAAAGGCACTGACAGTAATTTTTAATGGAGGACACCATTTTGGTTTTGATTGGATACCCCACAAACATAGAATATAATAAAAATATGTCAGAAAAAAGGTTATGTTTTATGCTACCATGCATCTATACTGGTCTGAAAGTAAGTGTTAATAATAGCTAGGAATTTAATATTGGACAGTGTTTTGAAACATTTACATTAACAGTTGTAGAGAGCCTCTCCACAAAATGTTGTATCATTTTCCAATCTTGTATAAAAAAAATATTGATAAGATCTTATTAATGCAAGAAACCAGTTTCAATTATAAATGATAAAAACTTCAATGGGAAACACCAAAGTACATTTTTCAAAAATCTTTCAAATATTAAAAAGGAAACTAAATAAGGTTTTATTAATAAGAATTTATTACCAATGATAAGAGTTATCATTCAATAGCATGCAGAATTTGTACAACAGGAGTCTCTGAGAAATAGATTAAAAAATTTGCCATATATTACAAGACACACATGAGAAACTGTATTCCCTGTGAACAGATGGGAATATAGGTGGCTGTATTGACAGTGCAGACAGGGAACACCTGAAAAGTAAGAAAAAAAAGCAAGTTAGTAAAAAGAAAAACAAATTTATTTAATTAAAATTACTACATTGACACATAACAGAAAGGTTGACCATCTTCGGTATGTACAAGGTGCTATCTAAAAATTCATATGATTTGAATATTGCATATGTAAACCAAATGCAGCACAATCTTTTATTGGTATCCACTGTAAACCAATGTGTTTCTGTCCAAGAGGATACATTTTAAGGAATTAGTAGAAACTAAGTGTTAGGCTAAGTAATTTGAGTTAACATGTTAAGAACATTAGGTTTAAAACTCCAAGTTCAATCTTCAGGACTTATCCTACAGAATAATGGTCAGAAGATTAACTCCTTGATTAGTGAATTTAGTTACATAATAATGGACTGGGTCATATAAATATACCAATACAAGTGTAACAATCCTTGAAGGCTAATAGTGCATGAAAGTTGCAATTGATGATTTGAAACTGTGAAAGAGTCAAGTCTGTAGATTGAATAAAGGGTTCAATTTGAAATGCTCTTAAGGATAGACACCTGAAGAAAGCCAGAGGGTACAAAAGCTGAAACAATGTGATTGTAAAAATGAGGATATTAGACTGTAAATAATATTTTGTGTATTTCTTCATACTATAAAGCAAAACATATTTATTTATAAATACACAATAACTATAAAAAATTACATGTCTTTATTTTTTAACATTATAATATGCTTTACTTATAAACATGTTAATATATTAAAGCAAATCATGCTGAGAATTTTATTTTATATCATCATCTTACAACAACATTCATGATAGATTATCACATATTCAAAACAAGTAAAAGGAACTCAAATTCTTAACATGACAACAAATTTTCTGATCTTTAATTTCATTATCAACTCATCCAGCAAAAGTAGAATAACATTTGTATATTGCTGTTTGTAAAAAGATATTTTCATCACTTGTTACAAAAAAAAAAAATCAACAAACTTATTACTAGCAGCAATACTTTTTCTTTGGTGAAGTTATAATATACAAGAGTGTGTCAAAAAGTTCTCAACTCAAGCCAGATCAAGAAGGGATTTAAAAAAAAAAAAAAAAAAATTTCTGATGTTTGGTCAGATTTTGGCAAGAGATCTTCTCAGCATCCCCTCCTCATAAGAGAAAATAAAAGAAATTGAGTTGTCTTTAAGAACCCATTCCTTAAAAAAGGTTTGTGCTTATAATAATAAAAAATGAAATGTTTTTTTTTTTTTTTTATTATACTTGAGGTCACTGCCAAACAATTTTTTTCAAATGTTGCTACTTTTACAGCTATCAAAGTAACAACTTACATGACATTTGTTTACTTCTATACAAAAGGAATATTCCCCAACAAGCCTCAATCTGAATCTTTCTTTGAATGCATTCTTTTATTCCCTCAAGTCCAATTCAATATAACAATTAGTTTTAATATTACATTTATAAAACTTATAAGCAAAATTTTACTATGAGTAATAGAAAATAAAGAAAATGAAACAGATATCATAGAGATTAATTTTAATATTTTTTGCAGCTGCTGTCTATTTTGCTATTTTTCACATGCTGATATCAGGGTGAAAAATATTCAGAAATTAGCAGAGATTTTCAAAAAATAAATTCATAAATAGATAAAATAATATGTAGTCAAATATGTAGACATGATATATACATAGATTCAATAAACACATTTTCTGGATGTGAACCATTGACAGCAATCAATTATTAAGATTTGATGGATTGAATAAAATCAGCCTGGATGAGTTTCTTACAGGATAGTTAGTTTCTTGTCAGTATAGGCTGCGTAACACAATGGATGTTAATTTGGAATGATGTTGATTGTTAGCATTTTATTCATGTTTATTTACATATTCTCTAGAAGTATAGATAATTATTTATTGAAACATGCGTTAAGAAATAGTTTATTTTCCTACACATTCTGTACTATCAAAAATTATACAACTTTTAAAAAGACTTATAACCAGTTAAGACTTATAACATGTAATAGTTTAAATACAGGTAGTGGCATTTAATAATGTAATAAAACCTCAAAAGATTATCTCTAAGACAAAACAGTAAAATACATACCACAAATAAAAACAGTAACAGTTGTTGTCCAGGTTATATTTTTATTTATTTTATTCAAGGAATCCATATTTGTCTCAAATATTATTATAGCGCATATCCATAAAATAAAAAAAAAAAAAAAAAAAAAAAAAAAAATTATTAAAGATGCTGATAAGCAAAAACTAATCATTTTGCACTAATACTCTTGGGAAAGGTATGAATCCATGTATCATCTCCTGCCACACAAGCTATGGGTTAAATTAAATTTGGCTCTCTAGCCTTGGGTGACAGTCTATAGAGTTGATTGGTTTGGCAACTTATGTTTCAGTATCAGTTTCCTGTTTTGTTTTCCTTGATGCTGCAGTTTTCGATTCGGTTTTTCAGTTTTTAATTTATTATTTTTGCTTTCTAAGGAAGCCATTCATTTTCTTGTGTAATGATAGCATTTCCAGTCAATATCTGATTTCATTTGAGATTGATAAATTTGCAACTTAGTCCGTTCAACTCGCAATATCTCGTGTATTTATGGCCCAACCTTAAAAATATTCATGGCTGGAAAGAAAATAATCTTTCTAAATATGTAATTTATAAGTGCTTTTATTCATTGAATTATTTTTTTAAGTGAGCTAAAATGGTAATGCTTTGAACAGCCGAAAATGGAAATGATTTTTTTTTTTTTTTTTTAGACTAAATTTTACACATTACTTTGATTCACAAGATCAAAGTGACCAATCTTTATCAATATTCTTGAAATTGTACGCTCAATAAGACAACTTAAACTACAACCAGGAAGATGTTCATTTCTTCTCTGACCTGAGGAAGCGAATTCGTTCAATAATTATAAAAAAAAAAAAAAAAAAAAACGGCAATTCTTTTCTGGTACACCATTGGGGTTCTGCAAATAAATTTTTTCTAAACAAAGAAAATCAATGAGTTATTTTTTCAGGTAAATAAATTTTAAAATACAATTAAAATTAAATATTAAAAATAAAAAAAATTTTTAATTTATTTTTTAGAATGTTTAGATTTCCAAATCTATGATTTTCACATGTTCTTTTAAAATACAAATTTTAAAACCGAAATTAAAAATTATTTTAATGATTTTAAATTAATATAATCTTGATAAGATAAAACCATAAAGATATTTGTAAAAATAAAATGAATTAATTTTCCTTGTTTAGAAGAATTTTATAGGTAGAACAGTAGCAAACATCCATTGTGGCTAAAAAAAAAAAAAAAAAAAAAAAAAAAGAAGCATTTTTACTTTGGATTTTGGATAAAAAAAAAAGACTTCTAGTTTTGAAAATATACACATTTTAAAACTGAGATTAAAACTTACTTTATTTTTTTCTTCTCTAATTTTGAAAGTGAAATTAACAACTATTTTAATTATTCTTAAAATCTAATTTTGCATTCCCTAGATAAAAAAAAAAAACATCTTCAGTCATTTTTCTCATTTACAACAACATTATCTTGTGATTGGTGTAATGGCCTAATAGAAAACCCTTACAAAAAACCCAACTTCATAAAATTTAACATTAAGATGAAACTAGCAATTATTATTTTTCTATTTTTTACTCACTATTTTGTTGTTAACTTAATTTTACTGCAAAAAGTTTTTTTTTTTTTTTTGAAAACTGAAACAAATAGATTTCACTTTTAGACATGTCATATTTCCTTTTTTTCTTCATTTCTTTTGTAAATGAAATAGATTTCACATTTGTTTCTTAAAACTAGACAAATGTTTTTAACATTTTTGTTCAATCTTATTCTCTTACAATGGTATAAATGTTAATAAAATTAAATTTTAAGATCTGAAAGTCTCTTCCAATAGTGTTTCTTTGGATATGGTTACTCAGTAGTGAAATAAAAATGAAACCAAAATCGTTCAGTTTTGTAAAAAATTTTGATGTGGTTTCACAGAATGCGGATGAAACCGAAAAAAGTTGTTTTTTTGGTTAAACTGCACATCTCTATGAGAAGAATTAGTGTAAATTCAGAACCTGGAAAAGGGCAACAGGAAATTACTCCACTATTATTTATCCAAGCGATCACTGTGATTCACAAATAAAAAAAAAAAAAAAAAAGAATCTGTGGAGAGATCTAATCAGTTACATTCTGAAGAGACATGGCATAAAAATATTTTAAAAATAAATTTAAAAAACCCTTTTTCATAAAAAAACATTTTTTTTTCAATCTACCTGTGAATTCTTCAGAAACATTTCAAGAACTCTTCTGCACTAAGCCGAGCTCTAGAATTGACAGCTAATTTCATTTCACTGACTTCTTTATCAATTTCCTCCATAAATTGAATGATAAAGTCCACCAGTTTATGTTTGTACATTTGCTCTGTGTGGAAATTGGTAATTAAGAAGCTGATGTCATAACCCTGGAAGATAATGAAAAAATTGATAAACTGTAGTAATTTTAAAAGGTTCAAATAAAGCAGACATAAACATTAAACTACATCAAAACAATCTAGTATTTAAAATGACTGCAATAATCTGTCATTATTTAAAAATAAAAAAAATAAAGAAAGAAAATTTATACTTTAATTTCAACTAAATTATCAAAGAACACTGGGCAACTGGAGTAAAAGGCAATTATGACCAGAATATATCAATGATGGAATCAAAGCACTAAGGCCAGTTCAACACAAATAATAAGTGACTACTGCTGTTTTTTTACAATGAGACCAGCTCAATGCATAAACACAAGAGCAACTATTTCAAACAGTCCTGAAGATACCACAAATAAAGTATTTTTTAATATTTATTCAGTTTTCATTATTTAAATTTTCCTATGCTATTTTTATGTTATTTACCTAGAACATATAAATACTATATACAATAAATTCTTGCAAATAATAACCTCATAGTAATTAAATGTCATTTTTGTAATAAAACTTACACTTAATATTGTCATTAATATATTAATAAAAAAAAATTTGAATATACAATTCCCATGCATATTGACATCATTATCATTTATCTAGTGCCAAACATTTTATTGTATATTTATTGTATTTTAGTAAAATGTATTTTTCTTACAGTAGCACTAAAATTCAATGAATCATAATGGCTATAAAGTTACTGAAAATTACAGCTTCAAATAGATTCCAATTGAAAATACATATGATAATCAAATAGTTGGTGGAGAGATAGAAAAAAAATTTATTCACCTCCACTGGTTTCCTTCGTAGAATGATAAAATTTTCTGCTCTCAACATCATAAACCTCATAAACTTGTGACACAAGATTTTCTCAATTTCATCAGCCTGAAAAGTTAAATATGTAAAAATGATCCATAATTTAAAATATAAGTTTAAACAATAAACAACCTTCTTTCTTTTTATGTGCCATGTCCTTTCAGGATGTAGGCGATCATGGCTCTCCACCTCCCTCTATCCCTTACAGCTCTCAACAAGTTCCTTCCCTCTGCCATCTCCCCCAGACCACATTCTGTCCTCCACTTGCTTAAGTCCGCTAGGTATGTCATGTGTCTCTCTTTCCCTCTATTCAACCTGTGAGTATCAGTTTCTCCAGGCCCTCCTTTCTCATTATGTCCCAGAAACTTCAACTACCTCTTCCTGGTATTAAGTATAAGCCTCCTCTTTATTTGCATCCTCTCTAAGACCCCATTGTTGCTCACACACTCGATCCATGATATACTTAGCATACTTCTGAAGAACCACATCTCCGTTGCCTCGAGTCTCTTCTTCATTTTTGAGGAAACCTTTCAACATTCACTGCTGTAAAGACAGACAGATGTCATGTAACAGCTCAGTATTCTTTTCTTTGTTATCAAAAAAATCCTCCTGCCTCACAATACTTTGCCCAGCTTTTGGAATGCATCCTTGGCCATCCCAATACATCTATGGATCTCATTGTCGCACTTACCAACCTCTGTCAAAACGCTTCTTAGATATTTAAACTTCTGCATCTACTTGCTTCTAGTGTTCCTGACCTGCAAATCACATTTCAGGCTCATCCTTTTACTGGTGACCATGTATTCTGTCTTCTTGTAGATTATGTTTAGTCCCTTCACTCACTCTCTGTTGCTACCTTCTGTAGGAGATTTTGTAATTTCTTTTCTGTGTCTGTTATCTGTAGTGTGTCATCTGCATATCTTATGTTAAGATTGTGGCTGCCAGTGTTAAATCCTGGTAGGGTTTCCAATACTCTCAGAATTACCTTGCTGTATAGATTGAACAGGTCTGGTGAGAAGATGCAGCCTTGCCTTATGTCCTTTTCTATTTTTGTACATTCGTTGAATTTGTTTTCTATGCACATACATGCTGTTTGCTGCCAGTATTGGTTCTTGATTATTCTAATATATCTTTCCCAAATATATTAAGGTTGCAGTTCCAGCAGATCCTTGTAGCGTACTTTGTCAAAGGCCTTTGTGTAGTCTATGAAACATAGGTACATGTCCTTCTGCATTTGTATCGCTCTTTTTCATAACATTCTGAGCATGAATATCACATTCTTTGTTCCAGTGTCTTTAATGAGCCCCCACTGTTCTCATCCTATCTCTGGCCCGATTCTGCTGCATGCTCTATTCATCAGAATACGGATGATGAGTTTTGTCAAAGGGTTCGTTAGGCTGTGTGGTGGAGCTCGCATTCGTTTGTGCCTGAAGCTATGAAGATAGATCTGCTGTTGTAGATTTCATTTGTTATTTTGGTGATCTTGTTTATGCCAAAGTCATTTAAGGCTGTCAGTATTTCTGTTACAATTCCATCTGGCCCAGATGCCTTGTTTCTGTTCAATTTGGTCAATGTGGCTTTTACTTCAGTTTTCAGAATTCCAGGTCTGTCGGTAGTTCTGTGTATTGCTGGTTGCTCCCTTTTGTCATGGAAGAGTTCTCCAATATACTAGCTCCAGCATTGAAGAACTTTTTCCTTCTTTAATATGAGTGTTCCATCCTTTGATTTTAGGCAGCCTGTTGACAAGCATATCTTCTGCCTCATTTGTTTGTGTCTATCTCTTTTGTTGGTAGTACTCAATCTTTTTATTTCTGCACATTTTTTGTTTAGCCACTCTTCTTTATCTTGTCTGCATTTGGTCCTTATTTCATTGTGTAATTTTCTGTACTCTGTTCCATAATCTGGCAGAGTTTTCTGTTTCCTTTCCATCATGTTGAGAATCTTATCAGTCATCCATTCATTTTTTTCTTCTCTGTCCTGTCTCCTTTGGGATGATATTGTTTGCCAATATCACTAATGTCATTCCAAGTTGTGTGCATTTTATCTTCTTTTCACATTGCCCATATTTTTTTCTTTTAGGTTAGGGTTGCTCAGGAGTTTGTTGTATTGCAGTTTGGGTGCTGCATTAGGCTTCTTCAATTTCTGCAGTTTCACTCTTAGTTTACATATAAGAGGGCAATGATCACTTCTGCAGTTGGCACTTGGGTAGGTTTTGCAGTGAATCACCACATTCCTGAATCTTTTGTTAATGGTTAATCAATTTGGTTTTTAGTTTCTCCTCCTGGACTCCTCTATGTCCATAGTTGTTTCAGATGTTCTTGGAACCACATGTTGGCTATTACCTGGTCATTGGCTGTGCACCACTGGATCCATTTTTCTCCACATTCATTGTAGGTTTCTAGTCCAAATCCTCCTGCTATATCCCCTGCATACTTTGGCATTTAGGTCTCCCATGATAATGATGACTTCCTGTGATTTGCATAGAGCCTTGGCACTGTCCAGCATGGAGTAGAAAGATTTGATGTCCTCTTCCTTGCTTTGTGCCATTGGTGTGCACACTACTATAATAGTAATTGAAAGGTGTCCTTTTCAGATTCACTACCAGAATTCTTTTGGAAAGTTGGTGGTATCCTAGAACGCATTTTTTAAATGTGCTATCTTGTATTAATCCTACTCCTTTGTTGTTGTTCTCACCACCTGCATAAATTATCCTGTGTTTGTCGCTGACAAAATTACTATTGTTTGGCAATCTGGTTTCACATACACCTAGAATGTTGAGTCTCTTGTTTAACATTATCAGACTGGCCGCAGTTGTTCAATATTCAGATATTCCATGTCCTGAGAGTTAATTTGTGTTTGATGTGAGCAGTTGAAGGATAACTACCTGGTGATACCTGTCGCTCATGTTGTTCCTTTCCAGGTGTGGGATAGGTTCTGAGGACTTTTATCCCATTTATGCTAGCAGTCACTGGATGACACCTGTTGCACATGTTGGTCCTTACTGGTCGATGAGCTAATTCCCATAGACTTAACCCACTTCACACCATTAGGTTTCACATTGTCTGAGTTGTTGACCATGAAATCATTGGGATTCCATGAATCAATTTCAGTATTTTTTACTGTCTTTCACATGTATATGATATAAACTTCTATATTTTTATGGCCAATAAGTGAAGCACAAACAAGTAAGAGATGCCTTCAAATAAATGTCACTAAATACAAAAAACTTTTTTACAAACAGACCTTCAAAATTAAATAAGTGGTTTCTGGAACCTGATTAGATATGACAAGTCATGTTATGTGCTCTTTTAAACTTCAAATAACCTGGAAATAGGTCAGGGCTTGGGTTACTAAGTACATTCCTGCACAAAAGTCAGATAGCAATTCGGACATGACCCCAAAACAATAAAAATGGCTTGTCAGTAGCAGTCAGGACTAGATCTGAAACAGGACAGATATGCAAAACAGAACAGTTAGTGAACCAGCCCAGCCTTGACACATGTCAGTCAGTGATGATTTTCCTACATATAAAAGTGGGGTGAGGTAAATCCTGTCTCAACTCTCCTTGTTCACTGTTTTAAAATCACTGCTATCACACAAAATTAGTCACACGTTTCATTAGCATGCATATAATTTGAACTTTGCAGACTCACTTGCAACAAATCACATCAAACTATTGCTCTCTTCATGGGCACAACAAAGAACATTCATTTTCAACATCTATTGTATAAATGTTATTGTCATATTTAGCTTGGTCTTTTTTCTATTCTGTGAAGATCATTTCTTCATGTTTATAATTTTGTATTGTAATTTGTGGACATGACACACAGATTTTATTTATCCACATAAAATCCGAGTAGACTGTACCCACAAATGAAAAAATAAAAAACAAAATATTTCCACAATGAAATCCAACGAACAATCAATTTATTTATCAATGAACATGTTATACTAAAAAAGACAATACTTATTGACAGTATCAAATACATGTGCATGTTTTCTATGGGTATTTTTAAGGTACTGGATTTACTCTAAACAGTTTAGATATAAAATAGACAGTCCTGAAGTTTTGTGGCTAATTTAAGCTTTTGGGATAAAAAAAAAAAAAAAAAATCATTTCTTCAACACTTAACAAACATATCAATTTGCAGTCAACTTTTTTTTTTTTTTTTTTTTTTTTTTTTAACTGTTTTGCTATAATAACTTTTGTGAAGACAATTTACTGGTATTCTTGGACTAATTTTCACTTTCCTGCTTCATCATACAGACATTTCTTGTAGTCTTGGTCATTTCTTTCATTAGTTAAAGTAGAATCTTAATTTCCAATATCTAACTCTTAATGTTAGACTAACAATATAACCCATGACAATTCCCAGTGTTTTGAAAAGTTTTTTTTTTTAGAGAATGATGCTCTACAATCTGAGAGGCCAGTTGAGGCCGAGTTATAAAGTCATTCATTGTGAATAAACAAAGTTTAACAAACATACCCACAAATGGTGTGTCAAATGGACGGTTTTTCAAGATCACTATTACTGTATATGTCTGCAATAACTTACTGTTTTATAAAAATATTTTTAGAATTTTAACAACATGAAACTGGATTTATACACTTTTTGAGAATTAACAAAATTGTTAAATCACTATTAGACTGTTTACAAAATTATAAAATATGCAAACCAACTATAATGCAATGCTTATTATTTACCACATTATAAAGAAATTTTTTCATAAAATTAAGAATGAAAAAAAAAAGAAAATTTAATAAAACATTTAATGCTGAGTGACTGTAATAAATTTTGAAAAAAATACTTTTCTTCATTTTCTTCTCAGATTAATTTGTATGTCAGATTATTTTTAATTTTTGAAGGGGTTTTGGAGGTTCATTTAGCTATTATTATATGTTCATTGTAAAATGGGCAATTACTTTTCTCATAACATCAAAACAATTTTTAGAAAAATATTTTTTTGTATAATCATGAACTAGGATGCCTAACTGAAACTCCTTTTCTACTCTTTGAAAAAATTAATTTAAATCATTGCTAATTTTTCAAAGATTTGCAGAAGCAGGTTCTTTTTACTCAAAATCTCCCAGGTTATATTTCGTACAAGTGACCTCCTTTTACTTCTGAAGCAAAAATATGCTGCAACTTATTTTAGTGGATTTATGTGGTGAAAGAAATGCCCAGAAAATGCATTTTTTTTTTTCAAAATTTATAATTACATTTACTCGTCATTATGTGTTTATTCAAAATTTTTGCTCTGCCTTTTTTTTTTAAATCCAGTTTCAGATATGACTTATGAAAATTCTTAAAATAGCTTTTTAAAAACAAAAATTACAGAGGAAGTATACAGTAACAAAGAAATCAAGACAAAAACTTTTGACACAGTTTTTTTTATTTTTTCCAGATATATTTATTAAATTTTGTCAAATAATTAATGTTATACAATACAGGATACAGCCCAAATACTCAAAATATCTAAATCATGCAAGGAAAAACATTTGTACCAGCTTGGTTATACCAGTTGGTCTGATGAGTTGCTGATAAGTAGGAGGGGGAATTGACTGGAAAGTTGTGTGATTCACTACTTAAAAGGTATTGAAAATATTGTTTTTGAAACATTTTAAATGAGCAATGAAAAGTGTATACTTTACAACAATGAATCCAAGAGACTGAACTACCACTAGCCATCCAAAAGGCTAGTCAAAGGTCATCCTTTATACATGGTTGGATCAGGAGTCCTCTTTTATGAGTTCCTTCTGGATAGCCAAACAACTGCTTTGAACAAATGCTGTTCCCATTTAAATTAATTGAAGACAGTAATTCATGAAAATTATTGTAAATTACTTAAAAGCAAAGATCACATGATTTTGGTGATCAGACAACAATTGCTAGTTTGGCTAGTAAATTTTCATTTATGTGTCAGATATTGTACATTTAGATTAGCCAATATTAAGGTATTTAGAGAATGAATAATAATTAACTATTAAGAATAAATTCTTACCTGCTTAACTGCTATGCTTATTCTCAAGGAGTTGATAGAACCTTCAATGAGAACTTTTTCTTTTTCATTCCTACTGATAACAACAGGAGTTAATAATAATTCTTTACTGGACCTGAAAAGCAAAAACAGTCATTTTTCTATAATAATTTAGAGTGATTATTGTATTTTACTAAAAAAAATTGAAATGAATGCATTTCATAACAATGAATTTAATGATTTTAGTGTTAGGCTCAAAGTAATTGTGTTTAAATTAGATCATTCAATACTTAATATTCCAAGTATGAACAATAATTTTTTAATATTAACAATATGCTTGTAAAAACAGCATAAATAGATGAGAATAATAGTTCAATATTTGTAGATGAAATGTATAAATATACAAAAAATAAAAACTTTTATAAATATTGTAGTGATTGAAAAAATAAAACAGTCAAAATAAAATTAAATGAACTGTCTTTTAAAGTGAAAAAAAATTGATAAATTTAGAACAGAATTAATAATTCACTTTAATTTTTATGTGATGAAGAGTAAGAATATAAATTGACTAAAAAGTATAAACAAATATATGGATTTATTAAATTCAGTCATTCAAGAGAATTAATTTCATTTAAAGAGTTGATATAAATTTGTAATGCTAAAAGAAAAAAATAACCAATCCAAACCTCTGTAAATAATTTAAATTTAGTCTATTAGTATACAAATTGTTAAAACATTACCAACAATGGGAATCAAATGACTAGATCTAACACTAAAATCAGTGCTAGATTAGTAAAACTACTTTGTTGAACTGATTAAAAACCTCTAGAGATTTAGTTAACGTTCATATAATGAAACTGTATGATCTTAGAAATAATAAAATATTCTTTTTCATAAATTCAAATCTTGTTCATAAGTAAGAATCACTGGCCCAGCATTTTCAGCTTATAGGCTATGTTAAATCTTGAAAACTTATTGAGAGATATTTTTAGGTCAAGAATATGTACATCCTTCTAACTTAGGTACCTCCACGAGATCGCTAAAAAAAGAGCATAGCATGATGAAAAAGACGCCAAACTTGACGAAAACAAAATTTTATCGTCTAAATGTTTGTTATTCATTAAGAGGAAAGGTCAAAGTATTTTTGGGGTATTTTTTTCCATTTTTTAATCGTTCCTAGCACGTCCGAAATTTTCGTTAAAAATCTAGTTTTTTTGAGTCAGCAAAATTGACCATTTTTTTCCATTTTAAAAAAAAATGGAAATCTGACTTTGAAATTTTTTTAAATATCAATTATCATTTTTTCAAAACTTATTTTAAGAAAATCAGAAATTATAATGTTTATTTAAAATATTTTGAACCAAACTTAACTTAGCTTTTGTGCCAAAAAGATGTAATTTGAAAATAAAACAAAGCAGGTCATAAACTTTCGCGTCTCTTGACATGTGATGAATGATATATTTACGAATTCCATGAGGCTAATTTGTTCTACGGAAGGAGAAAAGTGAAATAATTTACATTTACGTGAACAAATTATTTACCCCGTTATTTTTTAATGAAAACTTTCAGCGGTCTATTTTTTTTTTTTTTTTTTTTTTTTTTTGTACTTAGCTTTCACCTTTACGTTTATGATGCTTTATGGGAAATATATTGTAAAGAAATTAAAATAAAACTGTTAAGAGTGATATTAAATTTCATATTTCTTAAGAAAGGTATCTAATTAATTTATAGGTACCTTTCTTATGAAATTTTATCAGAATTGTACATAAAATACTATAATTTTATGTACATTTATTACATTCTACTGTTATTTGTATTTGCATTCATTTTATTATTAATTTTGATATTTCATTTATGGAAAAAATGTCATAACTGAGATTAATATAAAAATAAGATCATATAAATTTCATAAGATGATACTGATACTTTGTAGGTACCCTTCTCAGTTGAAATTGAAAAATCAAATTAACTTCTCCACACGTGTTTCGCAAAAGTAAAGGCCTTAACAGCGGAGAACAATGCTTAACTCAAATAACGCAACTTAATTATATTCTGGTTGGTCTTCCGTATTTTATAATTACAGCTCGATTATAAGCACAAAATTACATTTCTTAATTACTGGGGATCTTCTGATTAGTAAAAAAAATGATACAATTTACAACGCGCTAAAAAAAAGATCTATCTCATAAGGACACTTATGAAAGCCGATGCGGCTTTTAACTAATTTTATAATATTTTAACAACTTAAATGTAAAATCTATTATAATTAATGAAATAACAAATAATTGTATTAAAAATTCATTTTCATCGAAAAAAAATTTTTTGCTTTCAGAAAATATTGTCCATATTCATAAAAACAAATAAAAGCAAATAAAAGCATTTGAAATTAAATAATATCTTTGTTTTATTGAGTTTTTGTATGTTACAATTCAGAGCTGATTTTCAGGTACTGCGTATCCAATTAAAAACAAAAAAAAACATGATTTGCATTCCTCAAAGCCCTGTGCTTTTAATTATTGTAATCACTAAAACCGATGCGATCGAATTTCTAGCGTTTTCATAAAATTAGTTATGGGGGGTAATAAATATTTTAAAAAAAATATTTCTACCATGACTTTCATAAAAAAAAAAACATTTATAATAATTTCGATCATCTGTGAAAAGTTCCTGAAAGTTTCATTAACATCCGATAATTATTTCTATTTTTGCACGATTTTTCAAATTAATGTGTGTCATACCAAAAAAACGTGCTAAAAATTGTCTATGTTATTTACTAGTTCTGCTGATACAAATAGAAACAAGGTTTTTTTAATCAAAATTTAGAATGTTCTAAAAAGAAGGAAAATTTTTAAAAAATAATTAAAAAAAAACTTTGGTCTTTCCTCTTAATAATAACATAAGCATTTAGACAATAAAATTTTGTTTTCAGCAAGGTTGGCGTCTTTTTCATCAAGCTATGCTCTTTTTTTAGCGATTTCGTGGAGGTACCTATTCTAACTTGAGTGCATCACAAGGCAATCAGTTACCCAAAAATTTCCATTTTTCCATTTTAAGCTATTTAAACAAAGCTTTTTTCTTCAAACTGAACACAATTCTCAAATTGGTAACACTGATTTTTCTGTCTACTAAACTATTGTTTCAGCTAAATCTGCTATGTAAAAAATAAAAATGCATTTTAATGCTTATATTTTAAAATTGTCAACAAAGGAAATTTATTGACCGATTTTTAAAACCAGAAAATTGTCAGAATTTTACAAAAAAAGATTTTGCTCTTTCAGCTTATGCATGAAGTATACACTTTACAACTGTATATAAAGCTAAGATGTCAAACAAAAATTTGTCCTGAATGAGTGACCTTATGTTCACTCATCTTTAAAATCAGATTCCACCTCTTCATCATTATTCACTATATCATATATTATGACCTATAAACATTGGGACAGTTCATAATTTTACACTTACAAATATCTGTATATGGGATATTGTTCTGTAAACATATAGCATTACTGATTGTTTTTATATGTATGAGACTAAATGCAATATGGTCAGGTGATGGAAGAAATTGCTGGGGCAGCTGACTGCCTAATTCTGATATTTGTAAAATCCACAATCCTTACCCAGCAGATAGCATAGGAAAATGAGAAAAATGACTAGTATTTACTCAGTTATGCAAACACAGAGAGAAAAAAAGATCCATCCTTCATTTGCTATTAGCTAAGATTATGTTAGATACATCAATATTTACACATTTATATGTGCATATATCTACAGACAGACCTAGCAAAACAATGTGAAAAAACAATGCCTACCCATCAGATTTGTATTACAATCAAGTCTACCCAAATGTGAATTCTCCCAGAAGGCATTAAATAACCTGGTTTAATCCTGTGTTTAACAAAACTGTAAAAATAAAAGTTGGAAATAATTTTATCAATTGATAAGTCCTTCCACAAATCCTGTAAACTTCATAAAGATATTTAGCTGGAACTGCCTTAAAGTCAATTATTTTTGCATGCATATCATTCCTGAGTTGGCAAAGTAACTATGTAGAAAGCTGGTGATGCTCATTATAATAGTAATTTTAACCCCTTCTGTCATTGTAGGAGTAGAAAAAACAGTCCTTTGGTGAGTGCTTATTTGACATAGAATAGTGTAACAAGTTACTGTGAAAGCTGATGATGAAATCACCAAGAGATCTTGGTATTGGTTCCAATCTAGTAGGATAACTGCAAAACATCCCCCTCCTCAAATTTATATACAAAGCATACAGATGCATGCTAGAATTTCTTCTTAGCCAATAAGAAAGGTCACTTTTTAGTCTCATCTTAGTTTTTGCCCGTCTTTACTATTACTCTATCAATTTACTGATATTATTATGAGTGTGTGTGTGTGGGGGGGCATACATACATATAGTAAATATGATGATCTGGCATCATCAGTAAAAGATTTTATTTCACTATCTTAAAAGATTTCTATAATTTATTCAAAAAAAAAAAAAAAAAAAAATCAAGTTCACCTGCTTAACATGAACTGCATTTCATTTTGCTAATGTAGATTTTATTTTTGTAAAATAAAATTCTTTTTCTAATGATCTTATATAAATGTTATATTTAGTGGGTACATGTCTGAGCTGACATCCGTTTTTTTTCTTAAATAGTGAAATTAATATCAAGCAGTTTAGATCGAGAAGTTTATAAAATTTATATTACTAAGATACATAGGATAAAAAAAACTCAATTTAAAATATATATATATATATATATATATATATATATATATAGATGACAAAAGAAAAACTTCTCACCTGACGTATTTTGTCCTCTGATGGACTTTAACTTTATAAAGGCAAATGTAAATTTTTTTTAATTTAAGAATGCTCATAAGTATACTTCAAATTTAACTGAAAGTCAATTTTAAACTATATAAAGGATGCTAAGTGTTGTAATTTAATGTCTAATAACTGAAATTGAGTAAATTATCTGAGTGAACCTTTTTTTTGCCTTCCATCAGCATGGAAATTCCAGGAGAGTGCCTCACTGGCCTTTTTACACTAACATTTTCTGCTGACATGAAGTGGAAAGATTATATTGAATCAATTACCTTGTCTGATGCTAAGAAGATTGGTTCACAATTTTT